CATCAGAACCCCTGACGCAGGGGTCATGAAATTCACAGTTTTGGAAGAGGCACCTTTACTCATTATAACTATGTATTCAGTTTGTTTGCTTAATACCCCGGATCAAAGAAGATTTGTAAAGAAATAATACTCAACAGAGCCCTGCCTTAACACCAAAACCCCTGACCCTGGGGCCATGAATTTAACAATTTTGGAAGAGGCACCCTTACTCATCATTACTATATTCTTAGTTCATCGGCTTAATACCCAGGAGAAAAGGAGAAGATTGTCAAAAAATTATTGCGGTTTTACTATGTAATCATTAGAGCCCCGCCCTAACATCATAACCCCTGACCCAGGGGCCATGAAATTCACAATATAAGAAGAGGCATCCTCACTCATCATAACAATGCATTTTGTTTGCGCTGGATTAGACAAGTAACTAACAAGTACTGCAACAGATTCCAATTTCTCAAAACAGGAAGAACCCAAAGTTGCGAAATCGCCGAAACCTGTTTAACCATCACCCAAACTTACAGCTGTCTTGCCAGATAAACGTTATCCAGTACTTACTCGAAAACCCAAAATCCTGGAAGGTATTGTGTTGTGTTTCATGGTTCTTCTTCCAAAACCTAATCTGTGTGTATGTGTAGTTTTAGGTGCATGTTGTACTGTGTCTACAATAATCCCCTGTACAACTTGCTGGAAACATCTGGTTTCTGTTCAGTCTAGTCAAAATATACGTTTTGTGTTCATTACAGTCCCTGAAACGTTCTACTTTCCCATTTTTCCGTTCCGCAGCTAGGTTAAGGACGCCCATGAAATATACGCCTTAATATATTTAGAGACAATGAATACAATTTTAATATTTTTTTAACAGCATTAGTTTTGATGAATGTGAATTATGGTGTTTATACTTTTATATATCGGGTCTCGGCTGAGTTCGGCCAAAGCGACATCGCTTACATCAGCTGTTTGTCACGTGACAGGTTTAAAATTAGAACATATATGTACTATTACAAAGATCGTAAAAGTTCAACGATATCCGGGCATCTTTCCGCTATGATATTTAATCTGTTTTGTTTGAGACAAATTCCTTAACATGAAAAGTGCTGGGAGCAACTTCCTCATGCAAGGGAATTGTGTGAAATTTAACCGTCTTTCTATAAACTCCATACATAGATGTAATACGCACTGGAATAATGTTACCTTACGTAATATACATATGTATGAACAATGCACAACCAGCTCCCAGCCCTTTTCAAAATAGTAGGAATAATAGCTACACGTGTTTAAAAATTCTGAATTTATAGTGAAGCGGATATCGTTGAACTTTTGATATTTACAAGGGGCTGGACCCCTCATTCTAGCACGTTACTGTACAATTGTTCTCCCCACGGCTTTATAAAAAGTCTATACATTATCAATTTAGTTTGACAATAAAATATGGATTAATAAATTTTAGAATATGTCTTTATTTTGGTCCAAATAAGCTTGCTTCGTATTTATTCTTATTTTTACAAATTATTATAAAAGCTTGATCCACGCCTCAAGTATAGAGAAACTGCGTGTCAAACTAAGAAATGACGTCATCTCAGTAAGTACAGCGAGATCAAGCTGGCTTTCATTTTACATACGCTAAGTGCTGTTATGGCAAGATAAGTTGCACATTCATTTATCTTTATAATATTTTTGAGAAACGAAAGTATTTGAGTGTGTTTTAAAAAGAACATATAGTATTTATTCATCGATATTCATTTGTATTGTTTTAACGTGACGTCATAATAGCTTTCCCGAACCTCTGTATAGGCTGACGTAAATATGGGAGTCCTAAACCTAGCTGCGTCGCTCACCGTTCGTTCAGCGTGCGTTCACCGTTCGCTCTCCGTTCACAGTTTTGCGTTCACCGTTCACAAAGCGTTCAGCGTTCGCTCTTCGTTCCGTTCACTTTGCGTTCACCTTGCGTTCAGCGTTCACCTATCGTTCAGTTTTCATTGTCATTCGGAACTCCGAAGTGAAAGGACTTATCTTTTTGTAGGGAATGAGTTACAGGTTTTTTAATTTAATAACTAATAACATCGTGTTTGAAGAATCATTATTTCATGTTGAAAAATATCTACGATATATATTTTTATTATTCTAACTTAGCTGTTAGGTTATTTATTAAATTACTCTGGAAAATAAATGTTATAAGCACATTCTGTACCTGTGTAGAACGATGCTGAAATATTAAATATAACTAAGGGCAATGTGCAAATACTTCAAGCACTGCAACATTTTGTTATTTTGTTAAAGACGACAAATCGTTAATGGTGACATAATTACATATGTATCTAAGTCAAATAATTACGCAGCAAAATTACAAAAATAATTTTTTCTCACAGGTTTTTTTTTAAATTACTACAGAAAATATGATAGAACTAGTTCTGAGAGTTATACATAGTACTGCGGATATCCTGTTAATTTATTATCTTTGGAGCGAATTAAATTGATAGTGTGGTTAAAGGAAATATTTATTTGAAATGTACTGCACTACAGAATCTTCTCTAATATAATATGTAAAGTCTATAGTTATAGGAAAAAAAAAAACTTTCTTCACCGTAACTTTATATGTTTGCCATTCGATATGATTAATACCCCCCCCTTTTCCCCTAGATTGGTTATTTAGTCAGTACTGTATTTCCAGAATATTTTAATCAAATTTTTTTTGAAAAATAAGTTAAGGTCTTTTTTAAAACAAAAATTTCACTCTCAAAACAAATATGCATCTAAAAAAAAAAAGTCACGAAACAATAGTAGTTTAACATGTACACGTGTCGGCGGTGGTATTTGAAATTGGCAGAGAGTATGTTTCAAATTCAAGTGTTAATGCCCAATGTATTTTATTCATTTATTATTCAAATGTTGGGATCAAATCTAGAAATGATACAAAATAAATGTTATAACTTGTTGGAAGTACTCGCACTTTGTCTTCGATGTGACGAAACTTTCACAGTGTCGAATGATTTTGATTGACAGGACAAGCACGTGGACTTCGTGTGAACTTGAAGCAGGAAAATAAAAACGAGTATGACTGTCAAACAAATGGATATGATTTGTTGATTAAAAAAAAAAGTTACTTTCACTGCCTGATATATTTAGAAAAAAAATTCACAGTTTTTGTTTAATATGGGTAAAAACATTTAGTGAAGCCTGATAGGAAGGGGGAGCTAAAACGGAATCTCTCTCTCTCTCATTTGTCTGTTTAATAAAAACTATAACATACTACATAAATATCAAGTTGAGAAAATTGAATTTATAACAAATAATATGAATATGTATCTTTGTATTATCTTGTCCGAGTATAACCACGGCCATCTACATATACATGTAGAAGTCTGCTCAATAAATCATCATGAAAAATAGAAATGACACATAATATATCATTGTATTAAAAATTAAAAATACGAGCGTATAAATGCAAAACGTCCACTGACCTTTGTAATTATTTTTTTCAGTACTTTACACGAAATCGCCCTGACACGGAGATATATGAATGGATGTTACAGCCGCTTTAATTCATTCTATAAGTCAGAAGTTTTCTCTGATTTGTTTATACTTCAGCGTTCGGCAACAATTGCAATGTATTAATGCGATAAGAATCATGTGATTAAAAAACTTAATGTGCATGCATCGTCTTTCTTAGGACAACTTTGGAGAATTTATTTATTGACTTATTTATTCATTCATTTATTGGTTTACTCGTTGATTATTTATTTATTTATTTATTTTTTGGCACCTAACATTTTAATACAATAAAATAGTTTCAATGCAGGGAAAATATCAGAGGCATTCCGAACATATCGTTCATCTTGCGTTCACCGTTCGTTCACCGTTCACTTTGCGTTCGCGTTTGCGCTCCGTTCGCGATCTGCGTTCGATCACCGTTCACCAAGTTGCGTTCAGCGTTCACACATCGTTCACTCACCGTTCGCTCTGCGTTCGTTCAGCGTTCGCTCACCGTTCAAGTGGGAAAGTAGAACGTTTCAGGGACTGTATATACATGAAGTATCCTTTTATTTCCTTTTGTTTGCATGCAATAGATAATAATGCATGCGCTAAGGGTTTTAAAAAATTGACTTTGTGAACATTCAAAAATTCAGTGAATTTTATCTTGAAATCGAAGAACTTTGAACAGATACAGTTAGTTAAATAAGCTAAAATCATGTTCATCAATATAAAGAAAATATTATATGTGGAGTTATTATATTTGCATATGTTTGGTTTTATCTGCTAGATACACATGATCAATCGAGATTAAATATAGTTCACAATGGCTGCGTTGTTGTTAACCATGTACCATGCTAAAATAGAGCAAACACAATAGTAAGTATTCGAACAAACAGTGACAAGATTCTGGAATAAACAAAAGAAACTCAGAAGGAAAAAAAACATGAAAGAGTCTTGGGTTCTTCAGAGAAACAGAATTGGCAGATTGATGTTGAAATACCGTGAACGATCAAACTCAGATGAGGGCTGTATACAAAGAAAATGCATCTCAAGATTTGGTAATGCCTTCATTGGAAGACAAAGTGAAGACTCCATGAAAGAATTAGATTCATTGAGGAAATCGTTTGGTAACTACAGTCCAAGAACAAATCCAGGTTAAAACAGAACCTCAGGTCAAAGTTAGTCCTTCCCACCGAGAATTTAACTCAGTCTAATAAATCTGCTTGCTCCCATAGGACTTCACATTCATCTCGTGGTTAATCCCACAACAACGCATGAGATTATCAAATAATAACACACTTAGGTCACCTCCTATCTAGCTATACTTCGTAAATATCCATTAATGCATATTTTTTGCCACCGACGTTGTGAAATTTGTTACTACTGAAAATAGATCCGAAGTGTTTGAGCACACTGCATGGTTAAACCTGGCAAACTTCCGATGTACATGTACCTTAGTTATCATATTGTTCCGTGCGATACAGCATTTGTGCAAATTCTAGTTATAAATGCAATAAAAAGCCGCGACCTACCTTTCGGCATCTTCGCTAGCCAAGGGTTTCTGATACGCTACTCTCCTCATAAGCCCTTGGCATACGGTGTTAAAAAAAGTTGGGATTTTTTTCTCAAGTTGTGATTGGAGTTGATCGACATTGTTCGACCTATCAGAAATTGTTTTTTGTAAATGACGATATTTGCTTTCGGAATATATGTTGACTCTTTAATATCGGGAATGAAAAACGCAAGTAAACAACGATCCGTAAGATAACATGCCATTCTATGAATAGCTATATGGTGACATCCAATATCTTAAGCTACGTGCAAAATATGTGATTAAGAATCTATACTGAAGATGTAGATTTGCATTTTAATATGTTTAAATAACAAATTAACATAACTCAATACCTTCTTGTTAATTATTCTTTAAAAACATGTTTTTAAATACACTTTTTATTTCTGTCGATGACGCAATCTGTGCGAACCTGGTAAGAATCGTGATCACGTGACGAAAACAATCCCGTCTTTTGTCAGCACCTTATGCCAAGGGTTTATAAGGAGAGTAGCGTATCAGAAACCTTTGGCTAGCGAAGATGACCTTTCGGCGGATTTCCAATCGAAGAAAATCGACTCCCCCTGGCGTTAAAAGCGACTCCCTCGTTCTTTTTCGCGACTCCCTCAAAGTAACGGTTTGACACGGTGAGTTATGGAGCCGGAGCTGTACTCTTCCAAATACAATGGGTGAAGAAAGAGTTGTTAGTTATTTTTCAAAATCCTTTTCTAGCACAGAGCGTAATTATTGTGTAACCAGAAGGGAGCTCTAAGCAATTATTCTAGCAGTGAAGCATTTTCATTCATATCTGTACGGTCAAAAATTTAGAATTAGAACAGTCCATGGAGCCTAAACTTGGCTCATGAGATTTAAGAACACTGAAGGACAAACAGCCAGGTGGTTAGAAATATTGTCTACTTATAACATGATCATAGAACATAGAGCCGGAAGAATACACTCTAATGCAGATGCATTGTCAAGACGTCCATGTTTCAATGCAGATTGTATTCACTGTTTGAGAAATGAAAATAGATATGAAACTGTAACAAACAGTGACATAGCGTGCAATAAGAGTTGCAGTTTAGAAAAGTTTGAAGTTTGTACGGTTGAAGTCGAAACCGAGTCTGGGGTTGAGAAATTACCATTTGAAAATGAGGCCTCTAGTAGGAATTGTTCATTTCAAGATAGACCGTGATCAGAAACTTACAGAGAACATAGATGATTTGAAACAAGCAGTTGTTAGTACAAATACTATTAGACATGTATTAGATGACTTTTCTGTCTCTGATTGTAATAAAGTAGCACAAAGTCGAGAGTCTCAATTTCCTTCGGTCCAAGTAGCAACAGCTAACGCTACAAATACAGATGTATTTAGTCGAGAACAATTAGTAAAATTTCAAACCTCAGATCCCGACATTAAAATTGTGTATCAGTGGAAGGTAGCTGGCGAAAAGCCTGATTGGTCAAAAGTATCACCTTGTAGCTTAAGTGTTAGGCATTATTATCACATTTGGGAAACTCTCCATTTGAAGGATGGTGTGTTATATAGAAATTGGGAAGATGAAAACCCTAAAAATGTAGAGTGGCATTTAGTCCTTCCTAAAGCTTTACTACCTGTAGTCTTTGAACAGCTACATTGTTCAGTAACAGCTGGTCATTTAGGATCTACGAAAACCTATGAAAAAGTTAGAAAGAGATTTTTCTGGTATGGAATGAAGTCGGACATAGAACGCTTAGTCAGAGTTTTTGATACCTGTGCCAAATGTAAAGGCCCCAGTAAAATAAATAAAGCTCCCTTAAAAATTTACACATCAGGTAGTCCAATGGAACGAATAGCATTAGACATCATGTCAGGGTTACCACGCAGTAACTCTGAAAATAAACATATCCTAGTAATTGGAGATTACTTTACCAAATGGGTCGATGCCTACCCGATTAAAGATATGGAAGCTAAAACAGTAGCTAGGGTTCTTGTTGAAAGATTTGTATCTGTGTTAGGTGTACCAAATGAGATCCACAGTGATCAAGGAACCACATTTGAGTCCTTAGTATTTAAAGAAGTTTGTAAATTACTGGGTGTTATCAAAACTAGAACTTCTCCTTACAATCCACAATCAGATGGAATGATTGAACGAATGAATAGAACTTTAAAGAATATGATTTTATCTTTTATTTCCAAGAACCAGAAAGATTGGGATGTGCATATTCCTCTTGATGATGGCATACAGAAGTTCAGTTCATGAAGCTACTGGCATGTCTCCAAGTTTGATGATGCTAGGGAGGGAGGTAAAATTACCCTTGGACATAGTTATGGGTCGACCAGAACTTGAAAATAGAGTAACATGTCAGACTATGCTTACAAATTACAAGAAAAGATGGATAAAATCCATTCTCTTGCTAGAGAGAAATTAGCTTTATCAGCTGAAAACATGAAAAAGTATCATGATAGGAAAATATCTACCAGAGCTTATAATGTGGGAGATCCCGTATAGTACTACTGTCCACAAATTAGACAGGGCCAGTGTAGAAAATTAGTTCCAAAATGACATGGTCCTTATATCATTACTGAAAGAAGGAATGATATTATATAAACAATACAAGAAAAACCCAAGAAAGCCCCCAAAGTAGTGCACTTCAATAAGCTAGCTCCTTATAAGGGAGATAATCCACCCAAGTGGTTTAGTCAACAAAATGTTCAGAAGAGGAACCTTTAAGTATGATTAATTGCTGTATTAATTAAAACAGAAATCCAGTATATGTAGTTGTGTGTTATTTTTTTTTTACCGTTTATTGTAGTTGATAGTTTGTCTAATTAATAGGAATGATATATTACTGCTGTTGAAGGAGGATGTACCAAAGAAAGATATCTGTGTGAATGCTTATGAAGTAGATTTTCATGATTAGGGTGAATTATCCCCTGGATCTCGGATCCTGTAAAATCTGATTAGATGACAGTTTCAATGTGTAGTAGTCTTATCACTCCAGTAGAGGTACACTGTACGGGTGCATCCCCCTCAAGAGCCTGTGGCCTCCAATAATTTACTGGAAATTTATGTGTGAAATTCAGAATCATGGAATGTAGTGTAATCGTTCCATCAGAGGTACCATGTATGAGTGCATCCCCCTCATGAGCCTTGGGCCTCCAGTAATTTGTTGGAAATTTGGAAAGTGAAAGCTTTATTGATTGAACAATTTATTGTCCCAGTAGAGGTATAATGTACGGGTGCATCACCCTCATGAGCCTTTGGCCTCCAATAATTTACAGGGAATGCTAGAGCAAGTGCGGTGCCGTGAAGTTCATTAAATTGGGAAGGCGCCCCCAAGAACTCATCATGAAAGAATGAAATTTGATTTATTCAATATGTAGTTTGATTGAGGAAAGTTTATATTAAAAAGGAGAGTGAAAATTGATAGATAGCATATGAATCTGAAAAGTTATGACAGTTGTCATGAGCATGTTAATGAGTTGTGACCTCTGAAAGTGAAACCCTTACTCTTAGTGGTCAGCAGTGATATAGTTTTGTAATTTGATAATAATTGATATGAAATGTATGTTACTTGTTTAACTATGAAATAATATTTGAATTATTTGGTGTAATTCAGATATAGAGATATTACATAATGGTTGATGATGATAGATTTGTTGCAGTGTGAAACTCTCAGATATAGTATATTTGGGACTTTTACCAGTTTAGATTATAAGCCATGAGAGGTTTTAATTGTAAAGAAATGATAAAATGGTTCTTAAGCTGTTGCCAACCTATTCTACATTGTGTGAATGTGTTTTGTTGAATATGCAAGATTGATATAGTATTGCACGCTTGAGATGTAAGATGTTTCTTATTTTGATTTCAGAATGTCTCGAGCAGGCGAGTTTAGGCACTTTAAGTGTGGCATATGCCCAGATTCCCAACTTTTTGATCGTAAATATTTGGCAAGGCGCCATCTCATTGAGCAACATTCAGGTTACGCTTACGTGTGTACGGCATGCAATTTAATACTTCCACGCAAAGAAAACCATTCCAGCTGTAATGCTAGAGGATCATCGGATACAGGGATGGAAGTCATGAGGCGCGCAGATGGGGTGAGGGGGAAGAGGGCTGATGAAGGCCTAGAGAGATATGTGAACGAAGTCGATCAGTATATTAAGATTGTCAACCCTAGGGTAAGATGCAGGTCAAGGGAGCGAGAGATGAGTCTTAATGCCACGGGGAGGATTAGCCCCACTCCCTCTCCCCCCAGGAAGAGGAAAGCACCATCTCCTCGGGGAAGAACTTTAAGTTCTTCTAGTTCCTCTTCGTCTAAGAGCTCCCCTGCCAGGAGCGAGCCAGGCAGTCCTGCTCACAGTGCTAGCATTAATCAGCTCTCTTCAACAGTTCTGAAAGAGTTTTCCGTGATGCCAGGAATTAAGATTACCATTGATATGAATGAACTAAAGAAGCATTTGTGAATCTATGAAATTGAGTGAATGAAGGAAGTAAGAAATAAATAAACCGACAACAGTTAGTTTTATTTATTTTTTTAATTAGATATTATAAGATCATCAGAGAAATCAGTCCGACACACCAGTTTGGAGACCAAACCCTGATTGGGTGGGGGCAGTGTTGCGCCTGCATAGCAAACCTTTAGTGTTGTTTAGAATGCATGTTTCATAGTTATGTTTTCGCTATAGAACTAAGATGCATGTTTACACTTCGTACAGCAAACGTCATTGCTTAATTTTGATTACGCGGATTACGTTTACCTGTAGTCTATATTTCCATTTTTGTCTATTCTAGAAGAGTGTTCGTAAAATTATTAAGTCTTGTAGAACTAAGCATCAAAAGGTTTATTTATTACCGGGATTTCGTTATATGATAACTGGAAACGTACGAGATTCAGTAATTGCGGAAACTGTATGGTAGAGATGAATATATCCGGAATGTTGGCAGACAAGTAGTTTCTGGATATATAACTCTAGAAATAATAAGCTTAAAATAATTATTAAATTATA